GCTCTTTCAGATGAGAGAGATTTCGGAGGAACGCTCTTGCAGTACAATATTCCACTCGACTGTTAAAAGGTGAATCGTTTGTGAATTATAATTTTACTTATTATCAGTTTAGATAGATCATACCCGTAAAATACCCGGGAAATACAGGTTGGGACAGGGAAACGGGAAATTTTGAATCAACGTTTGCACGAATAAATTCATAAAACAAATAATTCAGTAACGCAAGTTCATGTATTTAGCGTGTCATATATGTTTTTACAATCAAAATGTCCAAAAGTGTCTTTTTACTTTTTAAAGATGACATCGGAAAGATGTTCTCCCATTCGGCGTTCAACAGCCTGTTATGAAAACTCTTTTGCACGTGAGGATGGTAGTGCAGTGATAGTAACATCCGCTCGCTACGATGAAATTCTTCAAACATTCTTTACACCGAGATTGTATGAGCTTAATCTTAACATCGAAAACATGTGTTTTCAGCAGGACGAAGCCCCGTCACACACTGCACGACAATCGATGTCAGCAGTTCGTCAATTGTTTGGAAGACGCATTATTTCACGTAACGGTGACATTGAATGGCCTGCGAGATCCGTTGATCTTAGCGTGTGCGACTTCTTCCTGTAGGGGTATCTTAAACGCAAAGTGTACCGAACACGTCCTGCAACAATCCATGACTGAAGGAGAACATTGAAAAAGAAATCACTGCCATTCCCCACGATTTACTACTCCGCGCATTCCAGAGTTATCATAACAGCTGTTAGAGCGTGAACGTCGAATGGGAGAACATCTTTCCGATGTCATCTTTAAAAAGTAAAGAGACACTTTTGGACATTTTCATTGTAAAAACATAAATGCCATGCTGAATATCAGCACTTTCGTTACTGAGTTATTTTTTTATGGTTTTATTCATGCAAATAACGTTAATTCGAAATTTCCTGTTTCCCTGCGCCAACCTGTATATGTATCTCGTTTAAATGAAAAATTCTGATTATGAAGATATACGCTAACAGTTATACCAGTGAACCCGCAACGTCATTATTGTGACGTTGAAGCTCCCGATTAGATCTCAGCGTCGCAGCTGACCAAGTGCCGACGGCCGTAACGTTTCAATCGAAGTAGCACGGCGGGGCGGGCGGGCGCACCTGGAAGGCTCTGCGCCGGGTGAGGGGGTTCCCCGCGAGCGTGACCTCACGCAGCTCGCGCAGCGGCGCCAGGTGACGCAGCTGCGTGGGGTCGGCGACGCAGTTGCCCGCGAGGAAGAGGCGGCGCAACCCGCGCAGCGACTGCGCGAAGAACAGCTGCGACAGCCGGTTGCTCTCCACCCACAGCTCCTCCAGCGAGATGAGGCCGCGGCATTCGCCCGAGCCGATCTGCTGGATCCTACAGCAGCCCAAGCCCGCCCACGCCGCACGGTAACCCGGAGCCTTAATATGACCGAATTCACTTGGCTGTCCGGGTGACCTTAGGCATGGCACCTTCGGCGTGGACGCGGCGTCACCCGGACAGCCAAGTAAATAATGACCGGCGGTGGAAGCCTACGCTCTCACTTAATATGACCGAACTCTGTTCGGATTCTGGAAAATTCGGATTGTTCTGGAAATCCAGTAAAAGGCACGTAATATGTCTTAAAGAGTTCGCAAGGCGCTGACATATTTATGCGACACTGGCGCAATATGTAGTCTCCAAGTACATTTACTTCTTTATGCGAAATTATCACTAATTTTTGTTCCTAATTACAAGAAATGCACTATGATGAATACGTATATGTTATTCAAGTAATTTAAATGCTAGTTTTCTTATTGGTGTGTAATGAACATTTTTATTTCAAATCACTCTATAGTAGTTTGTTTCCTATTAAAAGTCATGTGTATTACAAATTTTGAAAATTATGTTCGTATTATTCAGAATTTCGAATCTCTGTTGTTCGGTTTACATGCATTTTACTGTGACTGGTGAATGTTTCAATTTGAGCCGAAGTTCCTAAGTTTACAGATCGGAAGAGCGAAAAAATAATTTTGCTGTAATAATAATATGGAAGTTTATCTTCATTTCATTAAAACGCTATATTTATTTACTTTATTATCTTTGTAATGACGTGTCCTTCATTTATATTGTAAAAAGCGAGTGCGAAGAAACTTTTTTCCTGACATTCGGACATTACTCTTTTCATTAACCTTCAACGTCCTTATTCAAGACGTAAATAGTATAATATCATCATCCGGATGGCAATCTAAGATCTTCTATGGATTATGGAGATTTGTATAATAAGCCATAATGCATGGAAGGAACTCGATACTTATGTATTTACTAAGGTTTTGACACCATTTAATTCTGTCCATAAAAGTACGAGTGTTACTGTTAGTGAGTTTCTGAGAATTGGTCGATAAATTTGATGAACAGTATTGATGATTTCTTTCGCAGTTAACAAGTTAATGCTGTGAAAGAAGTTTGAAAAATAGTAACCCGGGAAAACATGGCAACGATCTAATGGTTAGCTTCTATGGTCAGAAATATTTGAATGATCACGGGTGACCAGCCCTATTATACTAAATCGCAGAGTAAAATTTCCTGGTGCATGTCAGCCATGAGAAAGGCTACTGCATCAAGGCAGAAAACTCTCCAAAGCAACTTACGACGCAGCGTCGCTTTACCAGACAGCCGTGGCCATTTTAGACGGCACAACTATTAAGTCTGTAAGATCAAGTTCAACCATTGTTTGGAGGAGAATTCTATCGGCCGGCAGCGCCGATACATAGTTTTCCGTGGTTTCTTCACTCAATACCTGGCGTATACCAGAGAAGTACCACAAAAAACGGGTCATAGAACGTACGCAATATTTTATCCTCCATCATTGTTCCTCTCTACGTACACACTCAGTTATATGCACTACACTACCACCCCAATCGGGTGTATTTCTTGGTTGTGCCGAAGGGAAGGTGCTCCGTTGGGGAGATAGCTGGACGAAGAAAATATGCAAGCTGGCCTTTATGTTGGAGCTTGATCTCATATTCTAGCGGTAGATGAACACCATCACGAGGGGTAACACGTACTACACTTACGGGATTAATGAACATATTTGAAAGCGCCGGAAAACATTAAATTCTCAAGAGTACAAGGCGTTGGTCGAAACTTTCTTGTCCAGACCACACCTTCCGGAGGAGAAGGAATCACCACCACCATCATCACCCGGTACAAAACATTCACTACGCTCACGGGACAGTTGCGGTGCTCGGAACCCTAAATGAAGCAAAAAACGGACTCACTTGTTCTCGTCGACGACGAGGAAGCGGAGTGTGGCGACGCCCTGCAGCCCGTCCAGCGAGTCGAGGTCGTTCTGCTGCAGGAAGAGCGAGGAGAGGCGCGGCATCTCGCGCAGCCCCAGCAGCTTGGCGGACGCCAGCCGGTTGTTGTCCAGCAGCAGCATGCGCAGCGCGGGGAAGGGCGGCGCGGGCCTGGCGCCGCCCGCGGACGCCGGCGTCGGGCAGTGCGGCGCGAACGACGCCGCCTCCGACAGCGGCGCGCTGCCGTTGGGCGGCCGCAAGCTCGACACCTGCCACACACGCACCGCACACACATCGAAAACCAACAGCACACGCTTTATCGTGGTATTTCTAACGGTTACGCATTCTTCTTTTATTATCACTATCATTATCATTATTATAATTTACCCGTGAGCATCTGTGAAGTATCTTAATTTTGACTAAAAATTGAAAGAAAACGGTTCATTTTTTGTATATATGTTCGTAATAAATACTAAATTCCGAAGACCCCATACAAAACATGTGTATCCAGCTTCAAGAATAGCGTTGTGCGAGAGCATCGAACAAATTTTAATTTTGCTTTGACATGCACATCTGATACCTTAAGTGAACATTTTTCTACTCGATCATAAACAATACTCAAATATAAACAATTAACAAAGTTTGGAGCTACTTTTGTGAGAAGTACGTCCCAGATGCTATGTTATGTATTCTCCATAATCAATTAATGAAATGTGCGATAACAATGCCAGGCTTGGTTTATTACATAACCAAGGCTATGAAATGTTTGCTAACGATACTATTAGAGTACCGAGTTTCATTAATCGATGTACACACAATTGTTTACGAACTTAAAATGGGTGGCCATGAAAGTTGAGGTGACTGACCAGGTTGAAGCTGAGTCGTAGCGTCTTGAGCGATGGGAGCGTATGCAACCCCCACAGGCAGCTCAGGTTGTTGTTGCTCAGGTCCAGGCGCTCCAGCAGTGGAAGCACATCGCTAGGCAGCGTCACCTGCACAATTACACACACACGCGCTACTCTCAAGCTCCACAGGTTACTGAGCATGTGCTTTACTGTTCATATGTACCTGATACAGTTTACACAGACACATAAAATTTTTAAAAAATGTTGTCAGACCCGAAAACATGTTTCTTCATGTATGTCGACGTGCTAAATCCGAATCTGAAGCCGGAATTGCGCCATCAACCGCCCAAGTTTTAAATCGCGAAAAAACATCATGACATTGTATTTTTTTTTATCGGGGAGTTTTAGTCGGACGCAGAGACTTGACACGTGTTTCTATACGTATGTAGATGCGCAGAATCCGAATCTCAAGCCAGAATTGCGCCAGTATTTTTGAAATCGCGAAAAAACACATGCCTTTTTTGGGGGGGGTTCATGTCAGGTCCAAAGACTTGACACATGCTTTTTCTATGTATTTCAATGTGCTGAATCCGAATCTGAAGCCAGAATTGGTTATCAACCGCCAGTTTTTTTTAAATCGCGAAAAAACACATGACTTTGATTTCTTTTTTTTTGGGGGGGGGGTTCTTGTCAGGCCCAAAGACTTGACACATGTTTTTCTATGTATTTCAATACGCTGAATCCGAATCTGAAGTCAGAATTGCGTCATCACCCACCAGTTTTTTTAAATCGCGAAAAAACACATGACTGTTTTTTTGTTTTTTGGGGGGGAGGGGAGGGTTCTTGTCAGACCCAAAGACTTGACACGTGTTTCTCTATGTATTTTAATGTGCTGAATCCGAATGTGAAGCCAGAATTATGTCATCTCCCTCCAGAAAGTCCCAATCATTACTCTGAGCAGTGAATCAGCCCCTTCGAGCGACCGCAGGCCGCTTGAACTTATGACGCTCGAGAAGGAGACGATGAGCGATTAGGATCAAGTGGTATGCCGTGCAGTTCACAAGTAGGTTGACTGAAGGTTGCTTAAGGGCAAGTCAACTCCTATGGTGACCATTCCTGTTAATGTTCAGTTTTTACGCTTGGAAATGGCGGTGTTCCTTTCCTGCTGGATGGAGAGACCCGGAGTCGACCAACACTTCAGTTTCGGCTCATTTCCCTTCCTTATATCTCCCCCAGTGGCGCGTCGACCAGTCGGGACAAGCTCTAAGTTTCTGACTGGTCTTCTACCACACATGTGTGGTAGTGTAGTGCATGTAAGTTAGGGGCGAGGATAGAACGCGGAAGAGAAAGGAAAAGTCGCGCGTCGCGCGTGGCCCGTTTGTTAGGATCCTGCTCCGGCATTCGCTGGGTGTTGATTGGAGAAACCACGGAAAACGACCGATAAGTACAGTCGGTTGCAAGAGTTCTCCCCCAGGCAGCGTCCGAATTCAGACTAGCTATATAACATTAACGTAACTGGTACCCTATAATCTGCCGGCCAGAATCGCGTCAGAGACAGCAGCAATACTGGCCTTGACCGAAGCCCATCTGGCCACGCGAGTGGGTACCTTCCGGATGGAGCAGCTGACGAGCGTGAGCGTGCGCAGCGTGCTGAGCTCGAGCGAGTGCGGCGTCTTGAGCAGGAAGTCGTGGTCGAGCCGCCCGCCGAACTTGTCGTTGGCCTCGGCCACGTCGCTCTCCTCCACCGCCTGCCCGCACAGGAACTCCAGCTCGCGCACGTGGAACACGCAGAAGGGCCGGAAGTCGCGCAGTTTCTCCACCGGGTTGCCCGTCAGGTCGAGCATGCGCAGCGCACGGCAGCTCTTCGCCGCCAGGATGTTCGCCTGCCACACCCCCCACACATACTATACCACTCTAGCACATACATCATACTACTTGAACTAAAACTGAATGCATTTCTTTCTGAATATTTATTGAA